GGTTTCAGGGTGGAGAAGCAGGTAGCTGAGCTGCAGGAGTGACCATGACAAATGTGGCCACGCGGTCAGCAAACAGCAAAAGCAGCTTTTTTGTCTGCCAAGTTCAAGTGCTGGGTGCAGGTGGAGCTATAACGAGGGTCTGTGCCTCCCACACAGCACATGACACTTGTGGTTTCAATGTGTTTTGCAAAGGAGCATCAATTTCTTGCCAAAAAAAGGAGCAAGGTGAACCTCTCTCCCATTCCAGCAAAACACTCTCCCAGACTCCCCAGTGTAGCTCCATCCCATGGAATCTTTGAGTGTAGAAGATGCTTAAGAAAACCAAGGCGCAGAGATGTAAATGCACGTGCAGCTTGGTATTTGACTGCATGTCCCACCTGTGCTTGAGGGAAAGGCAGTAAGCAGAAAGCATTCAGTCAATAGTAACAGAAATGCAGAAGAAGAAAGAAGTTATACAAAGTTATCTTTAACCTTCTATGGTAACTCTGTTGGGAAACCTGCCTGGGAAAGTGAAGAGAGACATTGTCCCAGTGCTCACCCGCCTCAGTGGCTTCTGGGTGCCGGCGCTGCACATGGGCTTGCAGGAATGAGTTGTTCATGAAGGCTTTATCACAGAGGTGGCACTGGAGAAGGGGAAAAGTCAGTGGAGGGACTGTAATCTGCAGAAAAGGGCACTCCCCATGTCCCCTGCAAGGCAGACAAGGCTTTCCTGCTTTAGAGCAAAAGGGAAGACCTCAAGAGACATGGCTGTTGTGTTGGAAGCACATAGATGGAGGGTATCAGGAGTTTCTTCTGTCTAAAATCAAAGGAGAAGGCAGAAACCAAGATGGTCCAGGGATACAGCTTGGAGAAAAAAATGCTGCTTTCCCCAGTGGAGTAGTGCAATAAGAGGACAAAAGCATCACCAATAGGGTCTTTTGCTTGCAGGGATTATTGGGCTGTATGAACTCTTTTGGGTGGCTTTTACTTTCTAGGAGTGAGTGGGTTGATTTGGAGAAGGGGAAGCAGCAGACAAAAAAGGCACATCCAGCAGGCTTCCCGCTGAAAGGGTGGGAAAAGTTCGGTGGGGGTTAAAAGCAAAATCACCACCAAATGTAGGAGCATCCAGAAATCTTTCACTGGAGGATGCCTGAAGTCTCCCTGGGATGAGGTGTCCTCCAGGACACAGGGATTTCCTGAGATCTTCCTATACAGAACTCCTCTCCCACACCCTGTGCAGCTCTGACTGCCTGTAGCTGTCACCTCCTGAAAAAAGTTTCCCTCTTGGCTGGCAAGGACTTTGCAATCTCCATGAAGGAGATGAACCAGCACTAGGCAAAGTAGCAGGGCTGGACAACACCTTTTCTGCGGCCAAGGTTTAACCACAACAGGCTGCAAAGACAGGATGAGACAAAGAGTATCCTGCATGGGGACGTGCACTACACCCCTTACACCTTTCCCTCACACACCTTGCAATAGGTGTTGGGGCCAGCTTGCAAAAGGGGCTGATGCATAGCAAGCAACTTCTTCCACCTTCTGCTCTCCTCTTTTGACACCTGGAGCTGCACCGCCTGCTCTTCTGCCTGCTGCTGGGTGGAAGCCAGCTTGGCACGGGCAGCTTCCAGGTGCTGGGTGTGCATGGCCAGGCTGGTCCCCAGGCGCTCCTGGCAGTGCAACAGGTACTC